CTGTAGGACTCCGACCCCCAGTGCTCACCTGGCCCTTAGCCCCCTCTCCTGGGCACTGGACCCCTGATCCTGGCTATTTGCTCCCCTGAGTCCAGGTCCTGACCTGGCCACCACTCGCCCATATGGCTGTCCTGAGTCCCCTTCCACAAGAGTGGGCTGCCAAACAGGCCTGAGCTGGCGCCTCCTGGCCTCACCAGACTGGTCCCCGACCTGAATGATCACCATCCCTAAATTCTGTGCCTTCCCGGCTTGGGGCTGATCTCTAGCTTCACGCTTTGACCTTCACCTATGGTCTTGTCATTCAGACTGGCTTCACGAGCTGCCTTGGTCCCCATGCCCGAATATTTCGGCTCTAGTACTTTGGGAATCATGCCCGGCCCCAGATCCTGACCCCCAAGGCCCTCGCCCTCACCCATGACTATACCCATGACCACCCACATGCCCATGCCCATGCCCGTCCCCGCCATCTCTGCTCCCCCACCCATTTCCATGACTGGCCAAATGCCCTGCCCCATAGTGTCCCGGTCCCCAGTGGCCTGCCCCTACCCCTAAAGGCCCAGGAGCCCGGTACCACTCCTCCAGCACACTTCCCCTTGCTCCATAAAGCCCAGGAAGAGAGGCCTTGAGGCAGCACCTGCCTTTGGACAGCTGGCTTGCAGCCCTGGACCAAGCCCTCCCTCAACCCCGCCCCCAGCCCCGGGCCCCAGTTCCCTCCCAACTCTGTCCACACCCATGCCACTGAAGGCCTTAGCTTCCCTTGAGAAGTTCACCCACCCTAACCTGGGTGACCGTCCTGTCCTCCATACCCCTGTCCATCCCGCCCTTCCCACCACTGCCCTCGGCCACTGTGGCCCTTTCCCAAGCTCTTTCCTTGACCTGTACAAAATGCTTTTCTGTTCCCCAGTTCGCCCTTGGCCCTTAGCACCCTCCTGGGCACCAGAACTCTGACACTGGCTGTAGGCTCACCTGAGGCCACGTCTCACTCTGCCCAGGCCTCACTTAAACGCCTGTCCCGAGGCCCCGGTCTCCACCACCCTGTGATGCCGCATATGCATGACCCTGGCACCTCCTGTCCTGACTACACTAGTTCCTGCTCTGACTGGCCCCGTCCCTGAACTCTGAGACTCAGTGCCTTGGGGCTGATCTCTGGCTTCACGCTATGACATTCACCTAGGATCCGCTCCTTCAGAGCCCTGGATTGGCGGTCTTAACCCCCATGCCTGAATGCTGTGGCCTAGTTCTGCAAGAGTCCCACCTGGCTGGCACCTCCTGTCCTGACTACACTAGTTCCTGCTCTGACTGGCCCCGTCCCTGAACTCTGAGACTCAGTGCCTTGGGGCTGATCTCTGGCTTCACGCTATGACATTCACCTAGGATCCGCTCCTTCAGAGCCCTGGATTGGCGGTCTTAACCCCCATGCCTGAATGCTGTGGCCTAGTTCTGCAAGAGTCCCACCTGGCCCCATGTGCTGGCGCCGATGCCCTAGGCCCAATCCCGGCACATGTCCTCACCCATGACTATGCCTAGGCCCATGCCCTCACCCCCCACCCATGACCTTGCCATGTCCCAATGCCCAGCCCCATATAGTCTCTGGTCCCCGTTTCCTTTTCCTGCCGCAAGACCCAAGAGCTCAGTGCCATGCCTTCAGCACCCCTTCCTCTTACTAAATCCCCTGGACCAAGACCTCTCATCCTCCCCGGGCTTCAGTTTGCCCGCAAATCTGCTCTCGCCCTGCAGGGGCCATACCTTCCCTTAAGATACTGATCCACCCAACCCTGGGTCACGGCACTGCCCTCCATTTCCCTGTGCAGCCCGCCCTATCAGCCACCGTCCTGAGCCACAGGGGGCCCCTTCTTTCCCCAGCTGTTTTCTTCACCGTCCTATAGGACTTCCTGACCCCCAGTGCTCACCTGGCCCTTAGCCCCCTCTCCTGGGCACTGGACCCCTGATCCTGGCTATTTGCTCCCCTGAGTCCAGGTCCTGACCTTTCCACAACTCACTTAAATGCCTTTCCTGAGTCCCCTTCCAGAAGAACGGGCTGCCAAACAGGCCTCAGCTGGTGCCTCCTGGCCTCACCAGACTGGTCCCCGACCTGAATGATCACCATCCCTAAATTCTGTGCCTCCACCTAGGGTCCGCTCCTTCAGACCCCCTTGATTGGCGGTCTTAACCCCCATGCCTGAATGCTGTGGCCTAGTTCTGCAAGAGTCCCACCTGGCCCCATGTGCTGGCTGCGATGCCCTAGGCCCAATCCCGGCACATGTCCTCACCCATGACTATGCCTAGGCCCATGCCCTCACCCCCCACCCATGACCTTGCCATGTCCCAATGCCCAGCCCCATATAGTCTCTGGTCCCCGTTTCCTTTTCCTGCCGCAAGACCCAAGAGCTCAGTGCCATGCCTTCAGCACCCCTTCCTCTTACTAAATCCCCTGGACCAAGACCTCTCATCCTCCCCGGGCTTCAGTTTGCCCGCAAATCTGCTCTCGCCCTGCAGGGGCCATACCTTCCCTTAAGATACTGATCCACCCAACCCTGGGTCACGGCACTGCCCTCCATTTCCCTGTGCAGCCCGCCCTATCAGCCACCGTCCTGAGCCACAGGGGGCCCCTTCTTTCCCCAGCTGTTTTCTTCACCGTCCTATAGGACTTCCTGACCCCCAGTGCTCACCTGGCCCTTAGCCCCCTCTCCTGGGCACTGGACCCCTGATCCTGGCTATTTGCTCCCCTGAGTCCAGGTCCTGACCTTTCCACAACTCACTTAAATGCCTTTCCTGAGTCCCCTTCCAGAAGAACGGGCTGCCAAACAGGCCTCAGCTGGTGCCTCCTGGCCTCACCAGACTGGTCCCCGACCTGAATGATCACCATCCCTAAATTCTGTGCCTCCCCGGCTCGGGGCTGATCTCTAGCTTCACGCTTTGACCTTCACCTATGGTCTTGTCATTCAGACTGGCTTCACGAGCTGCCTTGGTCCCCATGCCCGAATATTTCGGCTCTAGTACTTTCGGAATCATGCCTGGCCCCAGATCCTGACCCCCAAGGCCCTCGCCCTCACCCATGACTATACCCATGACCACCCACATGCCCATGCCCATGCCCATTCCCCCCCCTGCCATCTCTGCTCCCCCACCCATTTCCATGACTGGCCAAATGCCCTGCCCCATAGTGGCCCGGTCCCCAGTGGCCTGCCCCTAGCCCTAAAATCCCAGGAGCCCGGTGCCACTCCTCCAGCACACTTCCCCTTCCTCGATAAAGCCCAGGAAGAGAACGGAATCATGCCCGGCCCCAGATCCTGACCCCCAAGGCCCTCGCCGTCACCCATGACTATACCCATGACCACCCACATGCCCATACCCATGCCCATGCCCCCCCCGCCATCTCTGCTCCCCCACCCATTTCCATGACTGGCCAAATGCCCTGCCCCATAGTGTCCCGGTCCCCAGTGGCCTGCCCCTACCCCTAAAGTCCCAGGAGCCCGGTGCCACTCCTCCAGCACACTTCCCCTTCCTCGATAAAGCCCAGGAAGAGAGGCCTTAAGGCAGCACCTGCCTTTGGACAGCTGGCTTGCAGTCCTGGACCAAGCCCTCCCTCATCCCCACTCCCAACCCCCGCACCCAGTTCGCTCCCAACTCTGCCCACACTGCTAAAGGCCTTAGCTTCCCTTGAGAAGTTCACCCACCCTAACCTGGGTGACCATCCTGTCCTCCATACTCCTGTCCATCCCGCCCTTCCCACCACTGCCCTCGGCCACTGTGGCCCTTTCCCAAGCTCTTTCCTTGACCTGTACAAAATGCTTTTCTGTTCCCCAGTTCGCCCTTGGCCCTTAGCACCCTCCTGGGCACCAGAACTCTGACACTGGCTGTAGGCTCACCTGAGGCCACGTCTCACTCTGCCCAGGCCTCGCTTAAAGCCTGTTCTGAGGCCCCGGTCTCCACCACCCTGTGATGCCGCATATGCATGGCCCTGGTACCTCCTGTCCTGCTACACTGGTTCCTGCCCTGACTGGCCCCGTCCCTGAACTCTGAAAGTTCCTGCCCTGACTGGCCTCGTCCCTGAACTCTGAGACTCAGTGCCTTGCGGCGGATCTCTGGCTTCACGCTATGACCTTCACCTAGGGTCCGCTCCTTCAGACCCCCTTGATTGGCGGTCTTAACCCCCATGCCTGAATGCTGTGGCCTAGTTCTGCAAGAGTCCCACCTGGCCCCATGTGCTGGCTGCGATGCCCTAGGCCCAATCCCGGCCCATGTCCTCACCCATGACTATGCCTAGGCCCATGCCCTCACCCCCCACCCATGACCTTGCCATGTCCCAATGCCCAGCCCCATATAGTCTCTGGTCCCCATTTCCTTTTCCTGCCGCAAGACCCAAGAGCCCAGTGCCACGCCTTCAGCACCCCTTCCTCTTACTAAATCCCCTGGACCAAGACCTCTCATCCTCCCTGGGCTTCAGTTTGCCCCCGACGCTGCTCTCGCCCTGCAGGGGCCATACCTTCCACCTTCC